AAAGAGTGTTGGGACTTTTAAAACAGGTGAAGTAAAGGATATTGGGGCTTTAAAACAGTTTGGGGACTTTGCAAGAGGTAAACTAAAGGAATAATAACTCATAACATAAACAGAGAGTGTATTTTGTGGCTGAATGAGATTTATAAGAGAGGGAACATACATAGGGAGATTCCAAGTCGTACTTTACCCTCTGGTTTGAACATATTAGAGGGAAGTATGTTTTTAATACCATTTCCTGGTATCAGTGGCAGGTATCAGACTGAGCAGCTAATTGAAATAAATGATGCCACTTGCCATAGGCTTGAGCAGAGCAATTACTGTGCTGCAGGAGCAGAAGCGTGGCAGCAGACAGGAAAAAGGAGATAATTTTATGTTTTGAAAAAGAACTATTTAAATCTGAATACCACAATTATAGAATTGATATCATTACAGGGTGTATTTTAGTATAAGGGCAATACAGTATGTTAGCTGGCCTAACAGTGCAGTGCTGTGCACTGCCATTCTCAGATCTCCAGCTGAGATGAGAGCAATGTAGATTCATGGGGTGTGACTCAAACTCATTTTAAAGGTGTAATTGTGTTTCTGAAGTACAGGTTCTTGTATATCATATAATAAAGGGATGCTTCTCATACTTGCGTATGACCAAAGCTGAGGATAATGACCTAGAAAAAGATGACTGCCTAGAGCAGAGGTGGGGACTGTGCTGGGAAGAGGCTAAAGCAGTGGAGAGCAAGGATTAAGTGGTGGAAGATGACTGGAGCGAAACAGGGAGGAAATTACTGAGAAGACGCTAAAGAGATTACAGTTTGAATGACAAACTTCGTTATTTTAGAAACGCGCTTACAAGGATTATTGTAAGAAAGAAGGTGAAAAAATAGCAGGTAAAAATGTAATGAGATACCAACCCCTTAAACAATCAAAGAGAAAAAGGAGGAATTACAAGCATTGTTGCTGTTGTGTAGCATGTGAGGCAATATACTGCCTGCAGCACATGTTCTGTATGCACCGAAACAAAACGTGTCCTTTGAAGGCATCATCTGGTGCTGGCTTGGGTTTTTCCACATCCAGGTTTAGTTTTCACAGACCCACATTACACCTCCTGCCCAAACTTGTTCTCATTTGCACGGATAGGCTCTGCCTTGCAGGAGCTGCTGAATGTGTTACAGTTCCCTCTTGCTTTCTTTTCCTGCACTTAATAACAATTACGGGCTGACGGGATGATAAGAAGCAACAATTGGCACCTGAAACTGAGGAGCCTGTTTCCTGGTGCCACTTAGTAACAGGAAGAGATTATAATTTAAAACAAAGAACCTAAATCCACCTTCATTGTCCTCTGATGATTGTCAGCAATTATGATTAATCTCTTAAAGTCAGGTGGCACTTTGGTCTTCCCATCTATGCAACAATAAGCAGCTGGTAGTATTATTTGTGATGGATGCCTGTAGACAAAGCAGATTTGTGAGAGCAGCAGCAGGGATCAGGTTAGATCACACAGTGGAGCATAAAACGAGTTTAAAAAGCCATTTAAATCTACATAATATAATGTAAGTAAACTGAAGAGTTTGTTTTACTTTATTATATTACTGTTAGTCACTTTAAAAATACAAGTACTTGTTCAAGTGATGCTGATGTAACAACCTCGGGGTTATAATCATAATTTGTTGAGTTCAAACTTGACTCCTTTCTTGGTATTTTAAACAGATTTTTCAAAGACAATGCTTACTGAAATACAGCTGAATCCAGATGAATTTGACTACTTCCAAGTTGGAGTCGATTCTGAAGTGACCTTTTGCCTTAAAGAATTGAGGGTAAAGTAAGAATTTGTCTTGAAAATAGAACTTTTCCCATTAACTTGCTTGACTTAACCAGGACAATGCAGGATGGCCCTGGACGGGCTCCATCAGGCCTCCTGACCAGCAGCACTATTGCACCAGCTGATTGAGGATTAGCTGTAAAACCAGGATCTTCTGGACACTGAGGGGGTCCCTCACAGTAGCCTTTGAAAGGCAGCAAAACAGTTTTACAGCAACAAAACCGGGCAGGTACACTGTGACTGCACTGGAGAAAGCACTGTGGCCAGAACAGAAGTTCTCCATGTAGAAACTTCATTGGCAAAGCCCCAGGCAGGGGTGGCAGGAAATGTGTTCTAGAAGCAGTTGACTTTTACCTTTTCTTTTTTTGCCAGTAAACAACATCTGGGATAAACTTACATTCTAATGTTAATCTTCTGGGTGTAATGGTGCTTAACCACCCACCCCTTCTTTCCAGGGACTCCTGGCGTTTTCAGAAGTCACCAGTGTTCCTGTCTCCATCCATTTTGACATCTCTGGAAAGTACGTTTGGGAACACACCTGACCAGAACTGCTGCAGTTACACTTCTACACTCAGGTTTTGTCCACAGGTTACTCAATATTTAACAGGAACAATAAAACAGAGACAGTTTTGTACCAAAAGCTCTATTTCTGATCTGTGATACAGGGTTAAATAGTCTGTTATTACGCAAAAAGCACTTAACATAGGCACAGCATTACTAAGCTGCCCATGCTGAGTAATGAGCACCTATATAGAAGTCACGTGCTTGCTTCAGGCTCTCCGACAAATCACAGAATCAGACTTGTTTGGGTTGGAAGGGACCTTGAAGTTCATCCAGCTCCATCCCCTGCCACGGGCAGGGACACCTTCCACTAGAGCAGGTTGCTCCAAGCCCCTGTGTCCAACCTGCTGGTTGGACCAACCTCATTAAAATATATACTGATATATTTTATACTGAGAAAATTCATTGTGCTAGACAAAGAAATAAATAAATTGAGAACTTGCCTCCGCTTCCATGGACCAAGATTCACACAGCTGCTACTATTTCCTAACGGTGTGGGTCACAAGTTACCCACATCAAGGCAGAGGTATGCTAATGCAGGCAATGGTTTTATTTAGTAGTCTATAGAAACAGTAAGTTTTCTGCTCAAAATATAGTTTTAACTTAAATATTTAAAACTGATTTGACTAAGTACAGTACTGTGTAGTACAGCATTTGCTCACTGGCGCATTTAAATCTGCAACCATCTTACATCCTGCAGCAGCAAATCCATCACATTTTCAGCTCTTCAGGGGGGGCACGTTTTAAATCTGTATGTGTAGAATTGCACGAGCTGTTTCCTCCCACAACACGTGTAATTACACACGCTGGTTTAAGTCTCTGAATATCTGTGTTTAGACCAGTTGCTTTCAGCATTGAAGATCTGGTGCTGGAAGCCAGCTTTATCTTGGCTACTTTGTCTGACATTGAAAAGGAGACGACTTCCCAGCAGCCGCCCGGCTTCACACCGCAGCGGGAAAGGTGACGGTGGGCTTCAGGGGTGGGAGAGGGAGGATGGAAAATTGAAGTGTTCCAGCCAAGCCAGATTTAAGATGAAAAGGAATCGGCTCGTTCTTGCAGGGTAGTGGAGTCTTTGTTTATAGGAAACCAGTGAAGTAGGTGAGTTCAGGACCACCTAAGGAGCATTTACAGCAATAAAACAGTGCAAGAGAGCACGCTCTGTGCTAGCTTCTGCTTTCCTTTATCTCCACAGGGTTATTGCAGTAGGAGGGGAAGGGAAGGGACTTGTTGAGAATCCACTCTTAAAGCCATAACGATTTCACTAACACAAAATAGACACTCTATACACACAAAAGCCAGTTACTAACCTGACCTACTCTCTCCAATCCAGCCTGGAGACACGTACAGGGAAAGCTGGAAACACCTCCATGGATAAAGACAGCAGCACACAGGCAAATGCTTCCAAAGAGCCACAGAGGAATGGAAACACCTTGAGCACGGAGCCAGCGGAACCTGCGAGTCCTTTGGTAGAACAAGAGAGAAAAATCATTCTTGGAGCCACAGAGGGAGATAAAACAGGGGTAGAAGAAACAACCACAGCCCGTGCAGTGCTGGCAAGAGAGTCTCACTATGAGAAGGTGAGGAGGCTCTCAGTTGTATTTAGGGTGGGATACGTCAGCTGGTGTTTAGCTACACGTAGCCTGGGGGTTACTACCTGTTGGTATTCAGTTCTGCCTGTGGCCTTTCAATGGAAGCAGCTCTCACAGCAGCAGAGCTGACAAAAACCACTCCCACCATGTTTGATGCTGGTAATACTCACAGGTCTGGTTTACATGGAACAGCTGTAGACTAATGAAGATCTTCAAGTACCAAAAGCTTCAGAAATAATTAACCCCAAATTCTGTATCACAGTTTCTGACTTGTGTAAATATTGTATTTTCCAGTTTCATTCCTTGTTTTTTGGAGCAGTTTCCTGTAAGGAGGATGCCATCAGTCACACATTCCATAGTCTAGCGACAGCTAGCGACACAGAAGAGGATTTTGGCAACATGCAGAGCTCCCCAATCCTCTAGTGCCATGAAGCATTTGAACCTAAAGACTATTGGGGGTTGCCTTGAAAGATAAAAGAGTGTTTGATGGGGTAACAGTGGAGCTGTTTCTGGTTCTAGAAAGTTTAGCTGCTGTTCTGCAAGTTAGAACTTGATGGAAACTCTTTGTATTCTGAGCTGTTGTGGTAAACAGCACTTCATGAGTAACTGTTTGGAGTGTGGGGAGTGGAAATCCCCCTCAAACGGTGCCTGTCTCTTTTCATGCAAGACAGATCCATGGAAAAGGACAGAACTCAATCCCGAGTACTTTGTCACTTAAGAGTTTACTCACTGTTCCTGTTGGCCACCAGCACAGGTCATCCTAAACCGTTACCTGCTGTTCTAGTGTAAATTCAGGTCACGACTGACCAGGTTGGGGTTCGTTACGTGTTGGGTAGGAACAGCTTCGGCTGTTCAGCGCCTGTTCCTGCTGCTGGAGAACTCACCACTTGAAGCTGCTGTTGTGAAGTTGAGTGCTGGAAAAACAAACCCATCCACCCACTCGAGCAGCGCCAGCCACGCTACTGCTGGGGAGCAGCCGGAGCTTTACAGGATTGGTGTGGAACTGGCATTTCACTGAGGCATTTCAGTGTTGTAGGAATGCATCTGAACCAATAAAGGTGATGTTCAAGAGGCTTCTGTGTTTCAGACTCTCGTTATTCTTTTCCCTCCCACTGCTTCTTCCACCACAACTCGGTGGCGGTGTTCCCAAAGTTACTCTGGGATAAAATACCAAATTTCCCGTGAAGATTCCTGTGAAAGCCCACTTCCATTCACACAGGGATTTGGGAATACCAAGTGAAGGTCTAAACAAGAGCCCTACACCCACAGCGGTGGCTGCAGGTCCCTGTGCCACCACCGACATTACTGCATTGACAAACAGAGGGTTTGCAGTCGACTTTACTTTAAAAAGCACATTTTAGTATAAATACTATATTTATTAAATATCTTTACAATTCATTTAAATGTATTTACAGAACTATTCCTGCATAAGTTATACCTCAGACATGAAATTCACATAATCGCCTCTTAGGTAAGCATAGATGATAGTCTCATTTTAACAACAACAAAAAAGCATCCTCATTAGATACAGACTCAGATTTGCTTCATTATTTCAGCCATCTTTGTGAGAAACTGCTTCATACAGCCCCTTCCTACCCACACAGCTGGGGTTTTCCACAGGGAAGGGATGTCCAACACCAAGAGACGGAGGTTCTATCACCAAACCCTCCACATCTTTGCCAAACCCTCACCTCTCCCTTCTCCTTGACTCACTGTAACTGCCTGGTCCCAAGGTCTGTATTTTGGGGTTTTTTTAAGCCATTTAACCTTCACAGACACCAAAAAAAGGACGTTTAGAGGGAAGCCGGATGTCGCAGGTCTCCCAAAGATAGCTGTAAAAGGAGCAAGGAACCACAGTTTACCATTCACCACGTCTCAGCCCTGGTTTGCCCAAACACCCGCCAGCTCCGGGTGTTGCGTGTTACTGGCATGTAAAACTCTTCCTTTTCCTTCAGCTCATCGCTCCTGATCCACCAGCTCCTGACCACAACCAGAAACCCTCCGTGCAGCTGGGAGTCAGCCCGCGCTCCGCTCACGCACGCTTCCATGGCATGAACACCCTTCTTGTCTGCTCCTCTCGTGAGTAGCCACAATAAGCTAATTCCTAGGAAGTGTTACTGCTTCATGCATCGCTTACAAGGATTTTGATAGGATGGGCCCTGTCATTTCCTTTTCCATTAAATTTGTTGTGCGCAGACAGCTTAAGTTCATAGGAAGAAATCAGGTTTGATATGTTTCGAGTGCACATCTTAAAAGAAAGGAAAAAAAACCAAACCCCAAAACAATCAAGCATGTGATAAAAATATCAATTCTTTATAATACAGTATTGCTTTATAAACAGATGGAAAAGCTATAAGCTTTACTGGTCTTTGGTGTGTCCGGTGAGGGATTAACTCATGATTTGTGAATCAAAACCCAAATTTGTTCTTAAGAATAAAAAACTATAATCACGGTGTGATACGAGGCAAACGGGTTTGCGGAGAGTGCTCAGCTGCCAACGGCTTCCAATCGGGAATTCCCGATGCCAGCACCGCAGCCGCAGAGCACAGCACAAGGGGACGAGCGCCTCCGCCATCCGCTCCGCGAACGTCTCCCCGTGCCTACCTCTAGGAAGCAGAGAGGGGAAAAACTACCGAGGGCTGGGGATGAGCGTGCTGAGAGCGAGGGGTGAGAGTGCAACAGTCCGGGTCTACAGGGGCACCGCTTGGAGGGAAGGGGAAGGGAAAGAAGAATTGATCAAATCTGCTCTAATCAAGAAGCGCGACAGTAAATACTGGAGAGTAAAATGTAAAAGACACCCAAGATGTGAGAGAGAAACGTCCCTCCCAAACGCGAGAAACAAAGCCCTGTGCTGCAGCGTGGATACATTCCTTCTAGGAGACAGCCGGGAACAGCTTGTTCCGTTGTAGAAAGCAACGAGGACTGACAATTTGTGCAAAGTTATCCACCACTCACTGTTCCAGGTAGCACAAAACTCAGTAATTCTTCTTCATTAACATCATCCTCCCCGTACCCTCACCAAAATCAGATTTTGGTCAAGTTAGGGTGGTTAAGGCATTTTGACAAGTAATTACAAGGTGATGTAAAATCCATCGCTAACGTGATGCCAATTTAGGAATAGCAGATAAATTACTGAAGAGCTTCCAAATTAATCACTTATTATAACTGAAATGCCTGTTACAAGCATGACGCATTGAAATATAGTAAAATGACATGTACATGGTACATGTTAAATGACCTTAAATAAAAGCTTGACATAGTTACGCAAATATACAGTACAAGTCCACAAAAATTCTTTAAACAGGTTGAGGTAACCTCAAACTTAAACAGTTTTAATACAATAAACCAGGTAGTAAAAAATCTCCTCTGGAGAGCAGGTAAGATTACTTACTGACCAAGTTTAACTGCACTCACCTAAACAGCAACATTACCCGACTTTTTATATATAAAAACATGGCTTTAATTTATTTCTACAGACTTTTCTACCAGCAAAAAAGTTAATGGGAAAAAAAAAAAAACCAACCAAAAACCTGACCAAAAATATATATATCTTTACAGCTATCAGCTTGTTTTGTATGAACCTCAGGAAAGGAAAAGGAAAGCTTGCTGGAAGAGGGGGGAACAAACGGGAGCTACGGTCATTCGAAAGGAAATGTCGTATTGCAAAGTGGCTGTTAGAGAACTGTAAACATCATTAAGGTTCATTCCCCAAACCCTAAACTTGAGTTACTGAAATGTAAGTTTAGCTGATTATTCATTAATAGGTTCTGTACTTCCTGCTGCTGCCACAGCAGAAGCAGAGAGAGGTGCTCGTCTGCGAGTCAAAGGATCAACTGGACCTCAGTGGGTGCAGCACGTTCTGTTCTACACGAGCGAGTGGCAATTCTGAACACAAATTAAGCTTCGGTAACAAGAGCATCAGCTGCCAGAAGCGAGGGCAGGGTTGAGGATGAGCTGTTCTCTCATCACGCCACACCGGTGCGACGGGCAAGGACCTCGGCTCTGCCCTGCTCAGTTTGCTGACACCGAGTTAGAATTTGTACTTAAAAAAAGAACATGAAATTAAATGAAATTAAAATTCTCCACAGCCCAAACACCCCGATACCAGGCCCATTACGGACAAATGATCTGCAGAACTTCTTAAGATCACAGTTAAAGCACCTGAATCACAAAACACATTTGCATCCATAGAACTTGAACTAAGTATGGATTTTTGTTTTGGAAATCCCGTACTAGAAAAGGCTCCTAAGGCTGACACCATGGATGGCAAGAGCAGGATGTTTACAGCAGTTAGAAATCTCCTGAAAACTGGAGCTTAGAAACACGAAACCTCAGCTATCACTGTAACAAGACTAGGCTTATGAAACTGTGTTCTGTAACATACCCTCTAATGAATAGTGAACGTTTCTAGTAAGTAGAGTAATATGCCCTCCTGGAGAGGTTGTATCTATTGAATCTAGTTTGAAAGATGAGAAACCAATTCTACTCCTTTGAAAGGAAGTCACATTTCAAATGCAGTAACGACGTGGGATCGATCCTCCCCCTTTTTACGGACAATGATTAAGCTCTGGGACACATGCTTTTCAAGCCTTGAGCTTCTTCATTTCTTGCTGGCAGACAAAGACCAGTGTGCTAGGAGAGTGGTTCTTCACAAGGGCTTCAGGCCACGGGCTCGAGAACCGGCTGCCGAGCTCGGCTGCGAAGGAAGGAAGGAAGGATCCTGCCAGCAGGAAACCGGGTGTGGGGCTGGAGCTGGGGGGGCGAACGGGGGCTGCCGCTGCGGGCAGCTCAGTCTGTGTACTCGGCTACTATAGACAGAAGGACGGTGATGTCGTCTGGTTTCCCCCCTGTAATGGAAGAAAAGCAGAACTATTTCATCCAGCCACAGCAGTCACCTCAGAATCCGAGACATTCCCCCATGGAAAGCTCTTTTATTAGAGATAGTTTAAATCCTGAAGAACTGTTTTGTGTAGACACAGGAGCTCTGCTTCCTCCACCTCCTTTTGAAACACAACTGAGGGTAGCAGCGACACCTGACACAGCAAAAAGCACTCTCCTTTTGTGCTGTGGTGAGAGCACAAGCTCTTAAAAGGAGCACAGAGGCCTCACAATCGCCGCCAGCCAGCAGAGCAGAAAGCCTGGTTTCTAGCACACTGTGAAATGAATGTACAAAACCCCAACATCCCTTTGGTACAAGCAACCTGCAATGAAGATCTGCTCAGGAATTTCTACTGTTGACCAAACACCTCTTCTCCAGCACTGTATTACTGTGTATCTTTCTAGAAGCCACTTAATGTTTTTAGCAGTCACTTTTCAAGCCTAAACAGCTGCAGGAATCCACTCAAATCAGAAACAGCTCAGAGGTATCCTGTTAGGCAGGAACACGGACCAGTCCTGTGGACTGGGGAGATCTGCAGCTTCAT